TTTGTCACAGTCTTTAACTAGGATTTTTGAGACAGCTGCAAACTTGGCCACGCTCCTAAGATGAAATACCGTAAGATTACATATCTTTAGAGACACCAAATGGAGGCACTGAAAATAACACCTAACTCAAAACCAGAAAATTCTCAACAGAAAGGACTGTTTCCCTGTTTTGCAGTACTGTGTTCAAATTCATGGACACAGGACATATGATTTGCCACTAAGCTTAATAAAAATGACTGAACTAAACTTACCCCATTGCCTTTCTTCTCCTACTATGACAACTTCTGGATTAAAGAAAGTTGTATTCAGTAATACAACGCTGAAATTGATATTCAATAATGTTTTCAGTGTATCAGCTCTTATAAAGAAAGGGTGAACGTGGTAATTTATAAAATGCCATTACAAGCCCACGGGACATTCTGGAAGTCTCACTTTATTCTGCAGTTTCTCCAGGAGATGCCAAAGCAATGTGTCAGACACACAGAAGTGATTAGCCCGAGACCCTCACTTTTACTGGAGTATTACAGGACAGGAAACATCATGTCTCACTGCTTTGCCCTCAAACCATTTACTGGTTTGTATAAGCTAGGCAGAAGTACAAAGTAATAGTGAGTTTCTCCTCCTTCAAACCAAGTTTAATCTGTATTGTAAACTCCGCAAAATACAATGTATTGCACTAACTAGACCATCTGAACACAAGAAAACAGGGGGGTTTTGCTGTGATGGAGGTCAAACACTGGAACAGGTGGCCCGGAGAGGTTCTGGAACCTCCACCTGCAGAAATATTAGAAACACAACTGGACACAGTCTTGGACAACCTGCTTTAGCTGACCCTGCTTGAGCACGGGCTTTGGACTAGATGACATCAAGAGGTCCCTTCCAACCTAAACAATTCTGTGGTTCTGTGAAGATGATATAAGAAGTTTGAGAACCTATGCTGATAACTAAGGTGCCAGGCTAGGAAGGCATTTGTGTTTAGTCCCCTGCTCTGCCACAGACTTCTTTTTCATAAACCAAAGCCTTTATTTTTGTTACTAGTACCTGCCTAACTCAGATCCTGGAAGGACAAGCACACAAATAATCAAAAGAAAAGCTCTTCCTGTGACTTGGTAATAAACTATATGAGGCATTCTCCTTTCTTTTCTCTCTGAAGTATCTGGTTAACCAACTTCTGAAATCAGATACAGAACCAGCTGGGCTGCAAGGTTATTTCTTTATGGCACTTTTTATTTAAATGTGTGCATTTACTGTTGAGGAGAATAAAGGACAGACAAGATATACAACTTTGGTTATGTATATTTTCCATTACATTGCAGCCTAATTTATTCAGTTGAAAAAAATAGTCACACTACAGAGACGAGAACAGACAGGTACCAAATTTTGCTGCTGTATACACAACTCCAATTATTTAATATCAGAGTGTGTAAATTTTGTACATGGTGGGCTTTAATGGGAATAGAGTAGGGGGCTTCACACTTTAAATAGCTAACTCACACATTACTGCAACTGATATTTACATTTTTAAATCAGATGAAGAGCTAAGTGCACAAAAATATATTAAGAAATCATAATAACTTGTAAAAGTACCAGAAAGAAAAGCCATTAAATAATGCATCATTTTATGGGCCACTGGCTTGTTTTACCACACATGTGCTTTCACTGTCTGCACCTGAAAAGTGCATTAGTGGCCCATTAGGAAAAGGCACTGAAACTTGGGAGTTATCTAACAGACTGTATCCAATGTCTATGCCTGAAATATCTAGAAATGGCCCAAGTCTGGCTAGTTCCCTGATTGAAATTCACACATTCCAATTTTTAAAAGCATCATAACGCTCCAGGCAGTCCACTTCCCAGAAAGGTTTGTATTTCTCAAGTGATTAAAATCACTCTGCTTCCGGCCATCTCATGAGACCATCACAAAGGTGTGCTGTAATACAATCATCAAGAAATGCACTGCCTATGGTGCCTCATCAATGAAGTAACAGACCATCTGTACCAGAATCTGCCTTTTAATTGAAATGGAAAGGGTAAGAAAGCCTGGGGCTGCAGACTGAAGCAGAATATGTGAAATTACAGCACCAATATAGTTTTTATAAGGTAAACGAAAGTAACTTTGTTTTTCTTTACAAGATCAACATAGGAACAGCTGTAAGTTGGGGTCATCTACTGTTGCTGTGCTGCTCTGAATACACAGCATGTATTAGAAAAATTAAACTTAGGATGGATAAACTGCAAAGAAGACCAATTAGAGCTCTTCTCCTAGAGAAACTGCATGAAAGAAGTGGACCTACAGCATGGAGGTGTTGGCAATGTTAAAGACAACGTTGCCGTTGAACAGAGGAGAATTACCTCTCAGAGGGCTAAGTGCAGAAGCCACATGAGGAAGTAGGCCCTAGATTGGGAGATTCCAAAACAAAAGTAGTAAGAACTCCACCGCCACGGCGCACACCACCCTCACAGGTGTTCCTACTCCAGAGTGGATGCTTTTGTGAATGGTGGACAAATACATCCATGGTCAGGCTAGAAGGACTGGCAAGACCAACATCCCATTTTCAAGCCACCAAGACACAGATGTGCCACTGCCACATGTTAACGAAAAACCTGTCCTTCCTTAGACTCACCCCTAGTCCCAGGAGCAACACATCCAACAATCTGCACGTAAAGAGGAAGTTGATGCCAAAGCCCAGACTAAAGATTCAAAAAATGTCAGTGCTCAGAATATCTAGCCATGTTCCTTTCTCTACCTAAAGAGTAAGACAAACTAAGAGCAATAATCAAAGTTGTTGTTTTGTAACAGCTGAATGCTATCAGTAATACAGGTATAACTCTATAAGCATACACATCTGTGCCATCTGCACATCACTGCCAGAAGAAAACAAGTAGCAATTAGATCATTCTCCTACAGCATTCATAGCTTTTCAATGGAAAGATTCAGAAGTCAAACCTTTATTACCCACTGCAATAACTTGTTCTTAGCCTTGTTAAGCTTCTAGTTATCCATTACCACGGGAATACGCAGCAATACACGTAACTCCCCAACACAAAAAGCCCAAGGCAGCAACGGAAGCAGGCCTTGCAGATGTGCAGAATACATTCTGAAGAAACGCATAGGAAGATGGGAAGGTGTGGTGGGTTGACCCCGGCTGCATGCCAAGTGCCCACCAAAGCTGCTCAATCACCCCCCCTCCTCAACTGGACAGGGGAAAGAAAACACAACAAAAGGCTCGTAGGTCAAGATAAGGACAGGGAGATCACTCACCAAGTACCGTCACGGGCAAAACAGACTTGACTGGGGGAAATTAATTTAATTTATTACAATCAAATCAGAGTAAGATAATAAGAAATGTTAAAACTAGATCTTAAAAAACACCTTCCCCCCATCCCTCTCTTCTTCCCAGGCTTAACTTCACTCCCTATTTTCTCTATTTCCTCTCTGCCAGCAGCACAGGGGACAGGCAATGGGGGGTTGCGGTCACTTCACAACACATTGTTTCTGCCACTCCTTCCTCTTCAGGGAGAGGACTCCTCATACTCTTCCTCTGCTCCAGTGTGGGGTCCCTCTCACAGAAGACATTCCTCCACAAACTTCTCCAACGTGAGTCCTTCCCATAGGATGCAGCTCTTCGTGAACTGCTGCAGCATGGGTCCCTTCTACAGGGTGCAGTTCTTCAGGAACAGATTGCTCCAGCGTGGGTTCCCTGTGAGGTCACAAGTCCTGCCAGCAAACCTGCTCCAACATGGGCTCCTCTCTCCACAAGACCTCAGGTCCTGTCAGGAGACTGCTTCAGCATGGGCTTCCCATGGGGTCATAGCCTCCTTCGGGCACCCGCCTGCTTTAGCATGGGGTCCTGCACAGGCTGCAGGTGGGTATCTGCTCCACCATTAACCTCCATGGGCTGCAGAAGGACAACATGCCTCATCGTGGTCTTCACCACAGGTTGCAGGGGAATCTCTGCTCCAGTGCCTGGAGCACCCCTCTCCCTCCTTTTTCACTGACCTTGGTGTCTGCAGAGTTGTTTCTCTCACATAGTCTCACTCCTCTCTCTCACTGGAATTGCCGTTGCATAGTTTTAGGTTTTCCCCTCCTTCTTAAATGTGTTATCCCAGAGGCACTACTACTGTCACTGATGGGCTTGGCCTTGGCCAGCAGTGGGTCCATCTTGGAGCTGGCTGACATTGGCTGTATCAGGCACAGGAGAAGCTTCTAGCAGCTTCCCACAGAAGCCACTCCTGTAGCTCCCCCACTATCGAAACCTTGCCACACAAACCCAACACAGAAGGCCAAGAAGCAAAGACTTGCTGCATTAGTGCTTAAGACAGAAGATAACACTAAATTTGTAAACCGTGAATGGGCACAGATGCAGCAGAGGAATCCAAACAGAGTGAAAGTAAAGATACCAATTAGAGCACTGAGACTAGATCATATGGACTGTTTTCAGCCCCACTCTATATATGCTGCATGATTTTGTGCTAGTTCACTGTTCTTCCATTTCCCTTCCCACTCTTTGTCTACATCATCTGTGTATGACGGAAGCTCATGAGATCAAAGCCTATCTCTGCCTGCACCACGACTGGCTCAGTAAGGTTCAGACTTTGACTGGACGTTCTACAATTAATACACCTACATTAGCCTACTTAAACATACTGAATATAAAAATAATGGGAAGCTTATGCAGACCAGAGGGAACAGGGGATGACACAGGGGAAAATGGAAGTAGAAACATAATCGAGAGGGATACATTTTCTAAGATGAATATAAAATGAAGGAAGGTCAATGAGAGCTGGATGCTAAGACTTAAAAATAGAGTATCACTGGCAAATCATTCAATGACAACACCTCGTTGCAGTAACTTACTGAATTGGCATATCACACTACCTTACATGCTTGCTATTAAACTCAGAGTGTGAAAAGACACTGTGGAAAATCAAATTAACTTATATTAAACAACATAAAAAATGAAACTTCAGTAAAGCATCATCAAAACACATACAAAGTTTACCTCAGCTCCTAAACTGAGAGAGATTATTTCATTCTCAAAAGCGGAATGTGTATCAATATGAGGAGGAATTCCTGCATAAGAAAAAACCAAAAAAGTCAGTATAATAATAATAGAGTGCTAACTCTGTTAGTAAGCTCTGTTTCCATGGATGTCCATAGAGAAAACTAGGATGTACAGCTGAACAAACAAAACATATCATAAATAAGGGAGCTGCCTTCCAAAAGAATTCAAGACAATCGTCTGAGTTACATGCCCAGATTACATGCACACAGTTAACATGTGTGTCCTGTATAATCAGTGGAAACATTTAATAGACAGTTCAGGGCACCCAAAGGCCTCGTTCACCCTGTGAAGTCTCCAAATACTCTCCTTGCTGCAGAGAGCACATGAAATCACTATGCTCTCCTCTCAGGCAGTTTAGCAAGTAACACTAACAGTTATGCTATGTTAGGTGATTTTGGGCCTTAGCTCATTCATGGTTATGTATTTCTCCCTCACTCTCTTCACAGAGAAGGAGTCATCCCAAACACTCCCTCTATTGCTAGCAAATGACTGTGCTAAGGGTTTCAGCTCCAGAATTACGACCTACTACCACAAACACAGGCACTGCCAGGGTCAAACCCTGTCTCTGCTTTGCAGTTCCCACACGCCATTGCTAGGCTACTCCCCAGGTAGTACATCTGTTGGTGTGTGTATCAGTAAAAACACATAGTTGAGAACTGCCAGACACAGAGCAATTTCTTTTTTTTTAAATTTTTCTTTCAGATCTGCTAATTGAAATGAACCTGCCATTCCTCGCAGCTCATGCCACACATTTGAACACCAAGTGCTGAAACAGCAGTGCAGCACAGCAAGATCTCACTGCATGGTGGGGAACTGTAGTCAGCAGTGGAGCAAGGACAGCAGACAGCTTGGGAGAACTGCAACTACATCTTCCTTTGACACCAAAGCAGGCCCAGACAGATAAAACTTCTATGTGATCCAAACCAAAACAGCTCTATTTGCTTATTAAAAACTCCATCCACATTGATTTTGGACAGTATTGAATTCCTGAGCTGAAAACGTTTTTTTCCTAACAGTGTCAGTCAGCCCTATAAAGCACCCTTATTATATGCTAGATTTTACCTCCAGATGTAAATACTCTGAATCCCATTACTTTCAGTGAAAGCAATACAAAAGTTTTATGAGGTCAACATTTAATCTGATAGAAAATCAGCGAGACTTGAAAATCAAGGGGACATATCTCTTTGTGTTTGCTCACAACTTTGCCTCAGTATAAAGCACCGAAACGCGCTGAAGTCAGTGCAATTCCTGTGCAACAGAACATCAACTGCTCTCTTAAGCATCACCCAGACAATTCAATCAAGACCACACTGACCTACCTCCCTGCTGTTTATACTCCATATAGGCAGCACATAGTAAGAGACAGTCACCTAAGCATTCAAAAGTGGATGGTAACTTTAAAATATAAATCTACAACTTTAAACATTATTAGGACCCTGAATGAAAAAATGCCCTCAAAAAGGAATTCATTTAATGTGCCTTAAGTGTGGCCCCTACAGCTTAGATACCCAAAGTCATCAGTCACTTTTTGAAATCTCAAGTGTAATTTCCAGTGAAAACCTGGCTTGAAACACAGATACTAAAGGTATTAATCTGACTGCACTCTGTGCTCATTCACATCCTAACAACTCACACTTAAAGGGTATTTTGCTTTGGGTTGCTTTTTTTTTTAAAAAAAAAAAAGTTTCTATTCTTGACAGAAATATACAATTCTACCTAATCTCCTCCTATGTCCCAGACAGAAGTACATGACTGTATCAGTTTAACAGATTGTCAGATACATAAATGAACAGGATCAGCTTTTCAGACCCTTGTTTGCGGACACTATATCAGCTGTCAGGCATTAATTCTGACAGAAAAGCTGTTGTCCTTTCTTCCTAAGGACAATGAAATATCCACTCTAGAAAGCAAGCCAGATACTTAGCCTTGATGATTGACCTTAGCAAAAAGCACAGCACATGACTTATTCCCTAGAGGTGTGATTAGAAGCAATGTTCCCTTCAGATGTCTCCAGTTTGGGAAAGATTACAGAAACAGAGTAATTCCTTATTCCTCAGACAAGAAAACACTGCTTGCATCATACTTAAGAGTCCATATATTACATATATTAACGTCATATCATACATACTAACAGCAGAAGCTATTTCCTGATGACTGTATGCACAGTACAGAAAGCAAGAAGAGTTGAGAGTGAAAAAACGCACTTGACTACAAAACCAAATATGACTGTTTATTCCTGTATCTTTCTACAGTTAGTTTCTGTGTTATGGCCTTGGACTCCGAAACAACATCAATTTCCGTAACAGTCATATTAAAAACTGTACTTCTAAACACAAGCTCCCAGGTTCAGAAACCAGTATGCAGACTTCAGTTTTGATTCAAAGCATTTCTGGTCACAGAAGAAACACACTGAGCAGTGCTTAAATCCTGTCCCTATACCATGTCACATTTAGATGCTACTCTCATCTGATTTTCAGTTAAACTGGGCTGGGATAGAGTTAATTTTCTTATTAAACTGTCTTTATCTCAACCCATGAGTTTTCTCACTTTTCTCTTTCTGATTCTCTCCCCTACCTCAATGAGGGGGAGTGAGCAAGAGACAACTAAGCTCCACATGGACAATCAGGGTTAAACCACAACGTAAGGCAAAGAGCTCAAAATTTTTGAAGGACAGATAAACTCACCTTGTCCGGGTTCATACTGATTTACAGTCAGTTGATCAGGTTTATGTTTGATATATCCCTGCTTCAAGCACTTCTCCAAAAACAGGTCACAAAATTCAGGAAGACCTAGTTACAGAAACAAAATTGTAAGCAAGACAGAATAGCTTTCTACATTTTTATCCTTTCTTTTTACAATACATATAATAACTGGACAAAATACATAGAAATATCTTTGTAGCTATGCCAGTCCATCTTTCATAATGGTCAGTCTGCATCTGCTGTAACACACACATCGGAATTGGGGGGCTCATCTGCAAGACTGATATATTTATCACATCTCACAATTAGAAAGGTCGTTCCTCCAAGGCCTCCACATTCAGAAGCGGATCACTCCTTACAAATGCAAACTGTACTATTTCTACACACAAATAAAAGCATATCAAATCAGAGGCAAAATTTACACCAACTACAGTAAAAAAGTTGCAGTCAAGAAGCAAAATTATTATGCAGAAAGTCAGAAGCTGTGCAGAGAGCTCTCTAAAAAACTTGCCCCCTAAAAATCTGTTACTGAATTAGATTAAATATCACCAAAAAAATCTGCTGAAGTTAAACTGTCTTGAAACAGGAATGAAAGTTACAGTCCTTCACTGAATCTTTGGTTTGCTATTTTACCTGAGGACTTCATCGTAAAATTCTGTTGGAGGCAACACCCATAGACATTTTAGTAATAGCTTTTCCATGAACCTATTGATTTTTATTTTTAATTGTTCTCCCCCAATGAAGTGTTTATGCTTTTCTCACACCTAAAATAGTCTAGCTGTAAGACTAGAATACAGCTCAAATACAAATGCTTTTATGATTATATACCTTCACTGTGAAAACCACAATGTAACCAGAATCCTTCTGTTGGAAGCTACATCCACCCCAGTACACATGCATCACCTTAAACACCTTCAAGCTTTACAGGAATTTAACTCCCCTATTTCACTATTTTTAAATCTAAGACTATAAGATGACTCACTCGTTTTGCTCTGACTCACAGCTCTCGACTCCAAATAAGAGTTATTCAAACCTTCTCAAAATTGCTTTCAGTCCAAAAGAAATTTTATTTTGGTGTGCATCCAACAAGCTTCAAGCTAGTCAAGACAAATATACACAGCAACATACGTCACAACTCCTAAACAAATTAATATGTCACTTGTAACACATAATTGTTTTGCAAAATAAAAGCTAAAAAGCAATGGTAATTACAATCCCAAAAGCCTTATTTGACTGGACCTCAACAAAGGGAAGCAATCCTGGCTGCAAGTGATTAGAAAACAAGCTTCAAACACCGACAGTAATTTGGAATGACCTCATCAAAGGTGTGTGCTTAAGGTTCAGTGAAGGCTCTCCTTTTTTTAGGATCCCACCTTTCCTTTAATTAGAATCTCACATTCATATCTCAGTGAAGCTTAAAGGCTTTATATAATGGTTCAAACATCAGTGCAAAATAAGTCTGATTTAAAAGGAAAGTTCTCACCTCCAGGTAAAGGTTTGTCTTTATCAACGTTGTTGTTATCATAGCAAAACTCATATCCAAAATGTTTTACTCTTCTATGCTTTAAAGTCTTCTGGGCTGTAAAACCATACAAGTTTAAAGTAAAATTATACTACATAAAACATTATAGGCAATTTGCTATGCTTCCCTATTCCATCTGACCTGTTAAACCTAAACATTCTTTAATTGACAGTTAAAACAATTTATGTGACCTTTGTCCTTCAAGGCACACACTTCTGCCCTACTATCTTTTGTCTTTCATCAAGCATCACATTCACTGCTGTTGGAAGTTAAACTGATGGTGGCTTTGTATATGCAAGAAGTGGAAAGCACCAATTTTCTTGAGCCACATTTAATGCACTTTTATTCTTGCCCTGATCTCTGAACTTGATTAATATCTTATGGATACAGCAGGATCCTTCACTCTCACCAAGTTACATGTTAGCTAAGATCAATATAATCCTTTGTGTTGTTCCAAGGAACAAAATTGACACAGAAACTTTGAAATGAATTCCAAGAACAATTCATTTATTAAGACATTTAACTCCACAGAGCTCAACTGAAAGCAAAAAGCATCCAGAATGTGTGTCTTACTGACTTCTTTTTTATTTAAAAGAAGACATAGCTCCTCAGTTGGACAACAAATTACAAATTGCAAAGGTAACCTTCACAGAACGGTCTTGTGCTTGGCATAAGACACCTAAAAAAGACTCTAGCTGTTTCTGGATGCAGGAATATTATTCAAGTAAACCCACACCAGAATATCAATTCAGAGCACTTGCCCCCAGGAGTTTATCACTTGCAATATAAGATCCAATTTCTAAAATGCCAAGAATAAATACACAATGATTTCAAACAATACATTTACCAAGATGTAGACTTCTTGTAAACTGAAACTGTAGGAAAAAACAGCATAAAAGTATGGGAGGTCTGGATTTCTATGCCCACCATTTCGAGTATCTTCATCTCCTATCCAGTCAATACTTTCCAACATCTTCCTTTCTTCCTCTGGAGAAACAATCTTTTCAATGACCATTAGGCCTGGAGGCAAGCTGGTAGGAACAGCATTCTGCCAGAAAACTAGGGTGTACGGAAAAAGAGAATATTGTCACTGCTTACAGAAAACAAAACCATGTGTTCCCTATAGGGATATGTACTGTGTACAAGAACATAGTATAGCTGTAGAAATATTTACTTTAATGGTACAATGGAGCCCTCCCTGGAGTCTTACTTGGTGAATGAATGATCTCTTTCTGGCATGACAAAACAGGATAAGGCCCAAGTCTTGCATCACGCAAAGCACTTCCTAAAAATTTCACTGCATAATACCAACACGACTCCACACTATTCAAATGCAAAACCACTTGTGATTTTCCTGTCAAAATAATGGTAAAAAGAATTTCCCAATCACTTCAGGATTCTACCTGCATTTCATTTTTATTTTCTAGAAGTTTAGTGATTTACCAAATCTACTGTCTGTCCAGAGAAGCCATGTCGAATCAAGTACAGAGGAGTATAATGCAATACCTAGGTGAACACAAAATGTTGGTGCTGTAGAAGACATTCACTTTGCTATCCTAATAGCTCAAAAAAAGCTATTTGATAGCAGAATTTATAGACCAACACCACAACCCCTTTTCATTGGACACTATAAAAACTCACAGAAAGAGCAGAAGTTCTTGTACTAAACAGCTTATAGTCAGCCATAAAAAAAAAATATCTGGAGAGAAGGGGGAAAAAAAAGTCAGAAATCTTACTGTGTGTACTTTCCTTCTTGGATCTGAGATAAGAGATTGCAAGACTAAGGTCACACCAGAAATCCGACAAACTGTCCAGAGGTCTCCTGGGTCCCAATTTAGCTCCTTAATCACAAAAATCTTTATGTGCAGTATTGAATTGTCTGGAAACTTAACTAAATCCTTCTTCCTTTTGCCTCCAAGTAAAGGAGTTCAAATTAGAGTACCCTATCATGAGATACAAGCAGCAAAGAATATTTTATGTCCCGAATCTTAGATTCTGTCTTTCATATTCTCTGTCTACTTACAAAGACCAGTGTGTTTTTAGCTATATTTACAACCCAGGAAGCAAAAGCAAAGGAAAGCAGTGTGCAGGAAGTTGGATACATAGGAGAGCAGAAAAATTATACCTTTTTCCACAAAATTCATATACAGAACAATGTTTTGGCCAAAGTCTTCCAGTGTTACTACTTTTCCATTAAGGGCATCAAAGGCTTTCTTGGCTTCTTCTGTTGTCCCATATTTCACAAATGAATATGGTTTATTCGGTGGCATTAAGAGTGTTTCCACCAATCCATATTCTTCCACTATCCTCAGCAGCTGGTGTCTACTCATCCCGTTACCGAGACCAGCATTGGCAATAACCAGGCTCTAATTGAAGAGGAATTAAAAAAATTGAGAATTAGTGATTATTGTTGGTTCATTTAAAACTAACTCTCTATCAACAGAACAGCTCTATAAAGAAAAAATTAAGCCCATGAGTAGTCTTTTATATATTGCACACAAGATATTTACATTTCAATGAGCTTGGTATATGAAGCTAAGGCAACCTTTGTTTGCCCAGCGCTTATTCTGGAAGAAAGGCTTGCAACCTCTATCAGAGATACCTCCTCAGTTAATGCATGTAGTCACTATTACAAGAGCACTTAAGCTTCAAACTGGGACATGTGCGTCAAACGTACTGCAGGCAAACAATGACAGCAGCACACAATTTTGGAGTTTTCTAAAATGGAATTTTTCCAGAGACCTGTTACCACTAACAAAAACAAACAGAAAAACCTTTGAAGACCATGATTTTTTTTTTTTTTTAGTAAAGGTTTTCTCATCTTTGCTAAGGAGTCTCTCCAAGTATAGACATATTGATATTACCAGTCCCACTTCATGTCCCCCATACATCACATTCACCAAAAAAAGCAGCCTCTAGAAAAAGAGCGTCTAGTTCAGCTCCAGCACTCTTATCTGAAAACTCTCCCTCTTGTTTTTATAAACAAAAGGGATTTATGTCCCATCCTTAGTTAACACAGATTACTTCATACACAATGCCTAATTGCTTAATTCTACGCTTTCATAGTGATTTATGTCCAAAATGATCAAGGAGTATGCAGATTGAATCATAGAATAGTTTGGGTTGGAAGGGACCTTTAAAGGTCATCTAGTTCAACCCCTCTGCAGTGATCAGGTTGCCCAAAGCCCCATCCAACCCAACCTTGAGTGTTTCCAGGGATGGGGCTTATACCACCTCCCTGGGCAACCTGTGCCAGTGTTTCACTACTCTGATTGTAAAATATTTTTTCCTTATATCTAGCCTAAATTTACCCTCTTTCAGTTCAAAATCATTACTCCTTGTCCTAGCACAACAGTCACCATCTTTCCTATAAGCCCCCTTTAAGTACCGAAAGGCTGCAACAAGGTCTCCCCAGAGCCTTCTCTTCTCCAAGCTGAACAACCCCAACTCTCCCAGCCTGTCCTCACAGGGGAGGTGCTCCAGGCCCCTGATCACTTTTGTGACCCTCCTCTGGACTCACTCCAACAGGTCCATGTCTTTCCTGTGCTGAGGACCCAGAGCTGGACACAGCACTGCAGGCGAGGCCTCAGCAGAGCAGAGGGGCAGAACCACCCCTCTCAACCTGCTGGCCATGCTTCTTTTGATGCAGCCCAGGATGCAACTGGCTTTCTGGGCTGTGAGCGCACATTGACAGCTCACATCCAGCTTTTCATCCACCCACATCCCCAAGTCCTTCTCCGCAGGGCTGCTCTCAACCCCTTCACTCCCCAACCTCTATTGATACCAGGGATTGCCTCGATCCAGGTGCAGGACCTTGCACTTGGCCTTGTTGAACCTCATCAGGTTCACAAGGGCCCACTTCTCAAGCTTGTCCAGGTCCCTCTGGATGGCATCCCATCCCTCAGGCGTGTCAACCACACCACTCAGCTTGATGCCATCTGCAAACCTGCTGAGGGTGCACTTGATCCCACTGTCTGTGTCACTGATGAAGATATTACAGTACTGGTCCCAATATGGACCCCTGAGGGACACCACTTGTCACCAGTCTCCATTTGGACACTGAGCCATTGACCCTGACTCTCTGGATGTGAACATCCAACCCATTCCTCACCCACCGAACACCTGACCCATCAAATCCATATGTCTCCAATTTAGAGAGAAGGATGTTGTGGGGACTGATGCTGGTTTGCCAAATATTAAACAACAAAACAGAACTTTTCAAAGGACTGTTATTCAAGAAATATTATTTGAAAATACATGGACCTTTTCAAAATAAATTAGCAAGTTATTTTGACATCTAAATAGCTACATGCCATAACTGGATGCTCAATCTAATCATGGTGGTTGAAAGAAGTTTAAGTAAGTCTCTTTCTAAGGCCAAGGGAGAATGCAGTCTTAAAAGTTTTGATTGAGCTCCGATGACTCCAAACAGCTAGCAACAATTTACTCAGGCTGCCTCCATGTAGTAACTTTCCAGAAAGCTTTCAGATAATCTTTTCCTTAAAGTCTATAAATGTTATATGACCTTTTCTGAAGGCAGCTGGTAAAGTGTTCAATTGCTTCAAATGATAGCATTTCACTTCTCTAAAAGACAGGAAATCAGGTTTAAAACTGAAGGATTATTAAAAAAGAAAAATGTTATACAGTGAGTACTGCTGTTAACACTTGCTCTTGGCACTGCATCAGGCTGTCCATTACTGATCACATTTTTCAAAGGTGACCACATTATTAATTATTGTTATTTTCTAGAATGTTATTAATAGATAGGCCCATGTGTGTAGAGGAAACATAGAGATTAAAGCCAGTGCTTTTACTGACTGTAGGCACTTCATCTATAACAACTGTCACTACACAACAGCAGCATGTAAAGCCACAGATCATGTTCTCCTGACTGAGCAACTTCAACATCAGACTTTTGCACAAAGCCCAAAAGCATTTTCCATATTTTTGACACAAGTTTATGACTAGCACTATGATTTTGTTTCATACATCATCTATCCAAATATTCTGTCATCGATGAGGATCTTGCTAGACCCCAAAATTACTCTTTGATAGATTAGATGGATAATTTGGGATTTGGGACAGCGTGGAGGGGAACATGTCCCAGATGACGGACCCATTTCCAAGCAACACTAGAAAAACACAGTCCCTGCGCCAAAGAGCTTACAATATGCACAAGATTGCTGGGTCATTTTAGTACATGTCCATGTGGTGTGAAATCTGAGTGAAGACTAAGCCAAATTTTGTTACAAAAAATAAATATCTAACTGATGTTTCCATATTTGAATGGGAAGAATTTGCAGGATCAAGATGAACAAGGCTAGAGTAAACGATACTGCTCTACAGTGTTTCAAGCCATTAGCATCTCCCCACAACCGACAGAGGGAAATTGCAAACTCTCTAACTTCTGCCCTTTCTGTCTGCAAGTTCCTGTCACTTACGTTTTGCTACACCAGCATCTGTGAGGTCTCCCTCTGATCTGCTGTAACCCTCTACTGTGGCAGAAAACTACAAATCAAAAAGCCAAGTACTTTTCTGTTGGCTTAGGGAATAAAGTAGCTTACGGTGAAGTCCAACGAGCATCACAAGAAAGCAGAATTTCCTCCTAATCCTGTCTGCTTCTGTGCAAGGGAAGAGAAAGTTGCCCCCTTTTCAATTGACTGCAAGTCAGTCAATCAGTTCAGTTCTCACAGAGCCAGTCTACAGCAATTCAGATGAAGAAAACAACGTGGAAAAAGATTTCTAAGATAGACATGTTTTTAACAGGGAGTTTAGATGAGACGAGTTTTACTTGATAGAGAAGTATAGAGGAAAGAAAGATACAAAACCTAAAAGTCAGAGAAGAAAAGAAATCACACAGAGGAAGAGAAGAAAAGTTTATCTACTTCAATAAGGTAACATTTCCCATGCTTCATCCTCGTCCACAACCCAAGGAACTACTGTTTCACATTAAAAAAAAAAAAAAAAAAAACACAACAAAAAAAACACCACCCCACCTTATCCAAAGGCCATCAAAGTCTCCACAGACATTAAACTGCCGTACAGTTCTGCTTTGAAATCAGAGGCACAGAAAACCCTCCAGCTCAGAAGTGCATTTTGGAGGAGAACTACACTTTAGACAAAGCATATGTGAGAACAGAACACAGATAAGCAGCATTTTCACACTACCATCAAAATCAGAACTACCAGTCACCTGTGTGGCATAGGAGACGCACTCAATGCCCTCATGTCTCATCAACATATGCTGAGCTCTGACCTGCTTCCTCAATACTTTCTTCTTCATTTTATGGACTTTCAAGTGATCTTCACTGGTTTTAACTTCCATGCTGGTGATCTAGGAAGTAGAAGTAACAACACACAGTAAGTGTCCTGCTTGAAAAATTAAATAATTCAGTCTGTTCTAGAGAGGTAGCCTCTCCATCTCACATGACATCTCTAGGATAGCAATAGGACTTTAGATAATTCCAGATTTTACAAATTATTTGGGGCTGACAAAACTGAGTCTGCAATGTACATTCTTCCTCAGTCAATAGTGTGGTTTTCCCCATCTCTGAGGTTCTGTTATTAAAATCTCTTTTATTAAGAGGTTCCCCCCCAAAACAAAGGCTTTATAAGACTGTCATGATGCTAGATATCATTTTCCAGTTTTCCTCTTCACTCCTTTATTTGCAGTATCACTATACCCATTTGCAGTTTTTAACCTGCCTGCCCCTCCTGTTTTCACATAGCAATTCCAGTTAATTTCCTTCTTTCTACAGTCTTTGCAGAGTAGAACAAGAGAAAAAAATATATGTGTAACTGCCATGAGACTTGTATTGCCTTAGTTTCTAAGTTATTAATGCCTCACTGAATGCTTGAGTTGGAGATGAACTGTTCCCATTTGACTCCTTTTTCCCAACTGCCACTTTCAAGTGAATATGACATTTGGCAAAAATTGATTTTTGAGTAGAAAAATGTGTTCAATACTTAGATGTCCAAGAACTAGCAACCACGATGCTCCACACATCATTCAGCAAATCTCCCAAGGCCAAACTTTACAGAAATCCCATGCGAGCCACAAGAAGGAACAGAAAACTGTGCACACATATTAACTATTAATTTAGTGGCAACACAGCATTTACTTACCAGTGAGTTACTTAAGTCACTGGCCTTCTTCAGGTTTTGTTGCATCTTTTGCCACTTCTGGTCTAGTGCTACATTGAGCTTATTTTCTTTTGCTTTTTCTTTTTTTTTTTTTTCTTCAAACCCAAGGGAAGAGTCCAGACCTCACATAAGTCTATGACAAAGATCCCAGCCATTGATGTGGCTATACTTTGCCTTTCTCTTTTTCTCTCCCTATAGCATAATCCCTTACCCATATTTTAGTGGTTTCTTCTCTTCTTTCCCCAAAATCCTCCTAACAGGACAGCTGGACAATCCAACTGCAGTTATCAGATCAATGATAACAAAAGAATGGAAAGTGACAGACAACAATGCTACCACCTCATCTTCTCCTCACCTCAAAAAAATTCAAGAAAATAATAAAAAAACCCACGACTATGCCAATCATCACTATATTTACCTATTTAAAGGTGTCAACTGCTCCAACAGCTGGTCATCCACTTGCATACCTTCTGGCCTGCAAGGCTGCTTCCCAATACCTAACCTGCAGACAAAATCATGGTAATATGATGATGTACCACAGGAAAATCATAAAGGTAAAAAACAACATTTCATATTAGTATTTGATGCAACTTTGTATTGAATGACTCAGCAAATACCTTCTTTTAAACAAATGCAAATTGTTTAATAATTGTTAATTTTGTAACAAATTGTTACCAAAATATTGAACAGTTGCATAGGAGCTGTAAGTATGTAACCCCTGCGCCTGCTGCAGCACTACCATCATCAACATGCACAACTATTAATTGCAGAGAAAGAAAAATCTTGAAAGGGAATCACAATGACAAAAGCACCCCATGGAAACAACAGATTCTAATCCTCCAAAAGGAGCAGAACAAATGCTGCTAAAGAAGACTCAGCCTTTTGCCACTCCTTACCATTTGTTGGTTCTCCCTCCTACTCTTGCTCTTCCACTCCCAAACCTGATTTCATATCAGTCTCAAATGAATTAAAACACTCAAAGAAAACTAATTGGCTACAACAATTACAAGCAAATCTAGCAAGTTACTGGCATGGTAGGCTCCAACAATTCTATCCTGAAACTGTTTCAGACACCTGCTATCAAGTTTGAGATGATGCATGCATGGCCATAACAGTTTGAACCCTGACCTCCTAGCCAAACAGCATTATTCATTTTACACACAACCTGACCACATAAAGATAATGTTTACATCTGAGCCTGATTAAAAAAAAATTAAAAAAAAAACAAAAACACTGGGCATCAAGACTCATCCTACTACCATTAGACTCCTGACATTTCCTAGGGTCTGCTACTCAGAGCTAATTCAAGCATAACCACATTAACATGCAATAGAGGCAAAATGTACGAGAAGGAAATCTCACACATGACAAAACTCTAGCAGGGCACAGTTTCAGAAGAAGGAGGAGTCTACTGAAATAATTATTTCATGTGACTTCAGAAACATAAAATTTAGAGGCTGAAAAGATCAATGGGTTATAGAGCAAATCTTTTCTGTAAAATTTTTATTACAGATTTGTTAGCATCTGTCTCCCATTTCCCTGCAAAGCAACAGTGCTCACTAAGGGCTTTTTGCATATTTTATACCCTGATTTTCTCCCTTCCCTTCCTGAATCTCCTGGTACTTTCTTAAATAATCATTTTCCCTTCTTTATGGCAGACCTGCACACAGGCCACAGCTCATTCTTGGATAAAACAACACTTGCTTCTAAAGACAAATAGTTCAAAATGGTTTTCTTATTGAGGATTCTTCACTTATCTCCATATAAACACACAGAGAGAAATGGTCTTCTTAACCTTCATCAGTTAAATAACGACCAAGAAATCGTAAACTTGCTTGGACAAAAAAAGCACAGTGAGACACAGAAAAAACAACAAAAGATAAATGGAAGCAAAGGTACCTGGCGGGGGGAGGAGTCTCATGAAAAGAGACATGAAAAGTTTACATCAAGGACATTCCCTTAAGTGCATCTAACAGTTTACTCTTACCAGGATCCATCTGATTTGCAGGTTCATTCAGCAAGCTCACCATGACCGAGCTGCCCAATTAACAGATCTGGTCCAAAAGGCTTGGCCTGCCCAACTTTATTTGCCATACGCACGTGAACAGAGGCCAAGAGCTTTACAGACTGTCCATAGGCAAGCTCTTATCTTCTGGGGAGGGGGAGACAAGCAGTCTCAAACTACTTCACAGGAAAGTATAGAAGACACCCATCTTTGATCTGGTGAGGAGGGGTTACAGAAACAGTAAAAATATGGGATGGGTTTACTCTTTGGAACCATGCAAGTCTGGTTCAGATGGAAAAGCATGGAGGCTGCATACACCACCCATACCAGTCAGACCACTGTCATACAGCCTCTGCCAGAAGAAACGGATATTGAACTGAAAGGCTCAGGCCTTTCCTGTAATACCTATGCCTCTGTGCACTGCAAGACTCCATCTGATCTCAGGGGACAGCAGCTCTGAGTTAGTCAGGTCCTCACAAAATCCCACATTCTCCAAGCAAAAGCCAAGAAGTCACAACCCAGTATTTGGCAAACTAGCACAGAAAACAAAATTGAGAGATGTCTTTCCATCCTTTCATTACCTCTGAGCTAAACAACAGATCAAGGGACAGGAGAGGTGTGACTCAGCTGCCTAAACAAAGGGATTTAAAACTGGCAGAGATACCCTACCTCACGCTGCCTGGCCTTTCACCTTCTGCTCAAAAAGCTGAAGACCTTCCCTACATGCTGCATCATGCTTGCCAGTGTCACCCAGATGCCTCCAGCCCCTGAAGGCATCTCAAACAGCACTACTTACACTGCTGAGACAGCAGAACCTTCCCTTGGTCTCTGTCTGAACTGGGCCTACACTCTCTGCCTTGTCTGCTGCATCGTCACCTGAGGCTCCATTCTGCAGGCACAGAAACCAAGTCTCCTTTGATTTCCAAGTTAAGGAATCACACTCAACTGTATACAAGCGGAAAGCTTTATCTGGTAGCATCTCACATCCCCTTTACAAAGGCCAACATGACTATAGAAGATAGAAGAAAAAGCATCAAACAGTGGATTATTCATAACTGCTATCACCTCCTTTTGCAAGTATTAAAAAAAAAAAAAAAAAAAAAAAGTAGCTTCTGAAAATACACTGAAAACAGTCTCTCCTTGCAATGCTAGTTCAGGTTATAGAAGGTAACACAATTGGCCCGAAGTTACTCCAAAGGTTAACGTAAAGCTTTAATGTAATGGGGGAACCTTATTTGTACTAACAGCTACTTCTGAAAATGCAAGTGCATCGCTGGCGGAGTGGCGCTAAACCGCAGGTGCCAGCAGAGGGCGAACCACGCTCAGTTATGAAGTTGGGCACTTTATTATTCCGTTTTGGCTTTGTTTTGGCCGCAGACACGTACACGTAAAATGTGCATAGGCGCTGCATACACACAGGCATCAAAACTCGTGGGAAAAACGAAATTCGGGAGCCCTGATGGGGAGATTTAAGAGTTCCAGCACCGGCCAAACACGCCTGAAGGTGTCCGTACACCCCTGCGGCTATCGCCACCCCATCTCTGCCAGCGACAGCCAGCACCCACCGCCACCCCTCACACTCACGGGCTCTGGGCACTCGTTTAAAAAAGCGAGGGTAACAGGAACAACAACAGGAGTGTGCACAGACTGCTCTGCCCTGAGCAAACATGGGGTGGGGCTGTAAAAGCCACGACGGACACGCAGGGACTGACTTGGCCTGGTCCCCCCTCACCCCACCTCGCCCTGACA